ATTCGATGGTTTTTCTAGAAACTTGTAGAACATGTTCATTACTAGTCTTCCATGGAAGGAGCTTCTTGAAATATTCTAAAGACAAGTTTAGAAGATTTTGTAATAGTGTACAAATATTAGAAGATTTGAGATTCTTCCAGAGAGTTCTATAGGAACAATCGTAGTCATTGATTTGGAAAAACTTACACCATCCATTCCAAATAGGTAATATTATATGTAGATGTTAGGTTCATTTTTAAATCTATTCAAGTGAAGAGAGCTTGCGAAGTAAAGAGTAGGTTCATTTTAAATCTATTCAAGTGAAGAGAGCATGGGAAGTAAAGAGTACTAATATGAGGAAATTTGTGGATTTGTAAACACTAGTAGAGAGTACCACCATGTTGGATAATCTAACAAACTTCAGAGAACGGTACATGCATAAAACTTCAAGATACAACCAAATCCTAGACCAAGCATATGGCACCATCTTCGACACACCTTTTCTCCCTTCTTCGTACTCTTCTTCCTGACACGTGTAAAGAATACTTTAGATTTTATTTTAAAAATTTATGTTTGAACAATAAAAACATGTATTACACACACCTTAAACATTGTGATGTAAGTTTTAATCAAGCCTATGTTGTAAATATGTATCATGGTCGTATTTACTAATCCCTTTGAGTATCTATTATGGAGGTTCGATCATTGTTCAAGATACGACCAATATTTCTAAAGGACAATCCAAATATATGTGCACAAACTCGATTAGTATGTAGCTAGATCCAACACCAAACATATAGCACACCTTCTTGGATGATCACCCTTCTTACTCTTCTTTTTGCCCTTCTTCTTTTCTCGTGTAGAGGATTCTTTAGATTTTATTTTGAAAAATCATACTTGAGAATATAAAAACATGTGTTGTTCACACTTTACACAATAAATTGGAAGTTTTGATCATCTCCACATTGTAAACATCTGCTGGCAAAGGAAGCTCTGCGTGCACAAGAATCAAGTAGAAGATTGGTATTCGACAAAATGGGCACGAACACAACACCAGCATTGAATTTTTAAAGTACAACCAATCAATGAAACATAGTGTACCTACTATGCAAGGAGAAAAAAAGTGCTCATTCTTTAAAAAAAAATGAAGAATGCCCAAGCAAGTTTAAGCCCTTGAGGTCAATCATTTTTATACCTATAAGTGAATCTAATTATGTTTTATTAAATAACGAATGCATAAGCTTGCATTAATTCACACACACGCACACATCTCGACAATCAAAAATACGTTCTAATGATAGCTAATCTTCAAAATGGAATTAAAAAAAATAAAAAACAACCAATCCAAAAGCAAGAGTTGAACAAAAATGAGCAACTCAATAACACTTCTTGCATATACAACAAAATAGTCAATGACTTTTAGATAAAAGTTCTACTACCAAAAGAAGTTGTACAGTAATGCTATTTAATACCATTGATATTACGATATCATTCTAGGTAGTACTAAGTGTCATTAAGAAAAATGTACAATTATATATCACATTTAATTGAATTTATTATATAATGCCGCATAGACGGGTGCTCTAGCGCCACATAGACGGGTGTTTTGGCACTACTAATGCTAGATATCATTATTTAAAGTTATAATACTAAAAGACAAGCTACTAAAGGCTTTACTTATAACCGTTGTTTCAAATGGAACCTTAAATTCGATGTAACAATTTTTGTCAAACAGAATCTTAAATTCAATAGGAAATGTCTTATATATTTCAACACAAATATTTATGGAACATGTAAAATTGATATAGAACAATATTCAGAAAAGAAAAGGAAAGGAAATTAAAATCTTATTTATTATATTAATTATGTCTAGTAAATGTATATTAAATATACACTTATGAATAGAAAAGTTAGATAGAAGATTATTATATTTGCCCATGTTTTAACTCCATTTTATTGCATAAATTTTGTAAAAAGTGATTTTTTGGAGAATGTATATTTAAGATGTGACTTTTGTTTGTCTTCCATTAAAAACAACTTTTTGGAAAAAATGAATTTTGGAATAGTGATGTAGAAGAATGTGTGGTTAAAAAGTAGAAAAAAAATTGAGCTTATTTACAAAATATTTTATTATATGAATGCGTGGTTGAAAATTAGTTTGTAGTTGAAATGAGATTTCTGATTTAATGGAAGACAAACAGGGGATAAGGAAAAATTTTAAGTTTTCGTGTAAAATTATTTTGTTTGAAAAATGTGTGGTTAAAATTGAGATGAATAATAATTTTTTCGAGAATGTGTGATTAAAAAAGAAGAATTTTTTTTTTGGGTTTATACATAATATTATTTTATTGGAGAATGTATTATAAATAAAAAGAAATAAAAAAATGAATTTTAATTTAACGGGAAATAATGAGAGCTAGATGCTGGTTGAATTTTGGAGAAAAATGAATTTTGAAAGATAGGGCTCAAATTAACATGGGTTTAATAATTTGACTACAAATTTAAGCCCATGCTTGATAAACATTAAAATCAAGATTATTATCAAAGTTAAAGTTAACAATTAATTTTAATCACATATTTCATATGATCTACAATTTTTTAATCACATATTTCATCATTTTTTTTTATCAAATTTATTAAAATATGATTTTAATCTTCACCCAAACAGAAGTTCAATATTTCCATGTTTTATTGATACTAAATAAAAAATAGTACTAGCACTAATTTTGTGGATTTTAACCGCACTTGTTTGATCTTTATTTTTTTTCAAAATATATATTTTTTCCCTTCTTTTAAATCACACATTTTCCAATAAAATAATATTATACGTAAATTTAATTTCTTTTTAATTTTTAATCATATTTTCTTCATCAATTTATCATTTTAAAATGCATTTCTAATAAGAGCTTGTTTGAGAGGGATTAAAATCAGATTAAAATTGAAAATATAATCGTTGGAGTTGACTTTTATTAGACGAATGAGACCCAATAACGATTATATTTTCAATTTTAATTGAATTTTAATCCGTCCTAAATAAGCTCTTATTGTACGGCTCAAATGGAATGATTTTGGGTCAAGGCTTGTCGGCCAGTGGATAGTATAAAGGATAAGAGCTGCTGCCTTTTTTTTTGGGTCCATCTTTTGATATTCTTGAGTAATACAAAATTAACACGTGCCAAATATCACTTTGTATCTTAATTCTTAAACATTGTTACAGCCACTCATTTTTAAATGAGCACTATTCATTTTACAGTGAATTTGAAGGTTTTGGGTATATTTCTAGAAAAATATATTTTGAAATAGTAGATTGGTGGAAAATGTGCGGTTGAAAAATAAGGAAAAATTTTGAATGTGATGAAAAATATTATTTTATTGAAAAATGTGTGGTTGAAAACGAATTTTGAAAGAATGAATTTTTATAGAATGTGGATCAAACATGGTATGAATTTGAAGGTTTTGAGCGTATTTTGTTGAGTGTGCATTCTAAGTCTGTGTTTGGCTTGTGTTTATAACCATTCAGAGAATTTTTATTTATGCTCATGTTTGGAAGGAATTAAAATTTTATTTTAATTTAAATCAAATTCAACAATTAATTTTAATTACATATTTAATGGGACTAACGATTTTTCAACCACACATTTTATCAACATTTGTCTAAAATCTGATTTTGATCCCCATCAAACAGGGGGCCATATACAAGTTATACTTATTTATTAACCACTTTTTAAATATTCATCTAACAATCACAGAATTAGGAGCGGAGTTGGGGACTGAAATTTCAAATTAGAATGGACTAAAAAAAAATTAGCTAGGTTTATTTATTTATTTATTTATTATTATTATTATTATTTTTTCATGTTTAGATACCAAGAGAAAAAGAGTTTCTGAGTTTGGATTGCCCTAGGCTAAAGTCGAATTTTAAGGTACGTGACATCACAACTTCTTAAAATGTCGTTCGCCTGACTAATCATGAGTTATGGTGCTTTTTGGGTTTCATTGTAATTAAGAAGGGCAATGAATTTCACAAAGTGTGTAGATAGGGCCGTCAACGGATGAAATTTTGATCCTAATCCAATAAAATTAATGAGAGATGGATTTAGAATTTCAGTTCGATAATCCGATAATCCGTTAACTAAATAAATTAAATATGGATATAGGTCAATCATATTCGATAACAACCCATTCGATTTGATAAATAATTAAATCGGTAAAATATTTTAATAACATGTTATTTGTTATTAAAATAAATAAACGAGAAAATAAATAAATTTAGAATAAAAAACTCATCAAATTCAAAACATAAAAATTCGAAAAGTTTATAATTATTAAACCAACTTGGTTGCTCATTTCATCTATGAATCAATTTCAGGTAATTGGTGCAAAACGTCCCTACCTTTAATGATTTTTGTGGAAAACATCTCTACCTTTGATTTTTTGGCGCATAACGTCCCTACCTTTTACATTCTTTGCGCTGAACCTTTTCACCATTTTTAATATAAAATGACCAATATACCCTTCTAGTTAAATAAAACAAAAGAAAAAAAAAATAAAGAATGAATTGTAACTATAGGCCCGAGCTTTTTTAAAAAGTGCAAATAACCCACCAAATTTCACATTGTTTAAAAAATTATAACTTTACCCTAAACCTATAATTGCATGGGGGTCCCCACAATTTAATAAATTGCAGGAAAAGCCCCCATCCCCACATTTGACCAGCCTTCAAAGAAACCTAGCAGCTTATGGAGCCAGCTGCTTCTACTCCAAATTCGACCACCATACCGCCGGACAAACTACCGGATTTTCACACCACCAACATCTCACAAGAAAAAAATTAATTCTTATCTATTATTTCTACTGTTTGATTCTACTCGAAATCCTAATTCACGTTGCTAGTATCCATTTTCTTGTTTTTAATTCAAATGTTAAACCTATTAAATCTAGATTTGCTGTTCAATTTCACCCCCAAAGATTACAAATTTGGAATTGTGATTAGGGTTTTATTTTGATGCCCAAAGTTAATGATGTTTACTCCCCAGAAGCATCAATGGCCGGGATTATCAATCACTATGAGGAGTGAAGTCGCGCCAGCACAGGAGAGGAGCACCCCGAACCCAACTGGGAAGGGGAAGGTCGTGGCGTATATTGATGGCCCTGCAGCGCCACCCCGGCCCTTGGGGCTCTTGAGTGAGAGTGGAGATATAACCATGGTGAATGATTTGGAAAATATGGAGGATTGGAGGAGATTTCATGAGGCAAGGTTCTTGGATGAGATGGCTTTGGAGAGGCGCGACCGCGAGGCATTGCTAGAGGGGATTGCACGGTTAGAAAAAGAGGTCAGAAGGACAAAGAAATATGATAATTGGAATTTTATATGTTAATTGTTTTTTAGTTTTTTTAGATTCTTATCTTTTTTTTGTGTGATTATGGATCTGTTATGGCCGGTTTTTAGCATGGAATTGTAGAGTGGGATAAGGAGATGTTGATAGTGTGGAAATCTTGTGGTTTGTCCAATGGTATGGTGGTCGAATTTGGAGTAGAAGTAGTCGGCTCCATAAGCTACCAGGTTTCTTCGTAGGCTGGTCAAATTTAGGGACGGGAGCTTTCCCTGCAATTTATTAAATTGTGGGGACCCTCATGCAATTATGAGTTTAGGGTAAAGTTATAATTTTTTAAAGAATGCGAAGTTTGGTGGGTTCTTGGCACTTTTTAAAAAAGTTTAGGCATATAGTTACAATTCATTCTTTATTTTTCTTTTCTTTTATTTAAGTAGAAGGGTATATTGATCATTTTATGTTAAAAATAGTGAAAGGATGTCCAGCGTAAAGAATGTAAAAGGTAGGGATGTTATGCGCAAAAAAATCAATGGTAGGGACATTTTCCAGAAAAATCGTCAAAGATATGGATGTTTTGCGCCAATTACCCAATCAATTTCACATACGTTTTGTATTCTAATCCTAGTCAAATCTCCTCTCGTCTCTTACACTCATTTATTTTTCGTCCAACCCTTCGACTTGACCTTCAGAGTGTAAACAATCGTCGAACCTTCTTTTTTTTTTCGATCGACAACATTTGCTTTCTAACTAGAATTTTAAGTACACAGGTAGTGATGTCAACGAGTCGAGCCGAAATAAAGAACTCGAGCCGAGCCCGAGCTTTTTTGGACAGAGCTTTTTTTGGCCCGAGCCGAGTGAGCCCGTCCAAAAAAAATTAGGCTCGGCCCGAGCCTTAGCGGGCAAAGCCGGCTCGATTTTTTTGGTTTTTTTTCCTAGCTGCCTGCAAAATAGCTGCCTGCAGGCAACAGCAAGCTGCTGCAGGCAGCAACCTGCCTTCCAAAAAAAAAAAATTTTTTTTATAGGAGGCTCACCCGGGCCACGGGCCGGCCTGGGCTTGAACCGACTCCCCAAAGTGGGGCTTGGTTCCACCGAGCCGAGCCGAGCCGAGCCCGACTTGGGCTTTTTGCGAGCCGAGCCCGAGCCTTCGAGCTTTTCTGCCACAGCTATACACATGTGATGTCTATATGGAGGAGAGATGGTTGGGATTCTTTTGACTCATTTTTTGAGGTCAACGGATTTTAAGAGTCTACTTATATAAAAATGTTCCATCCTAATTATTTTTTAGTGTCTACAAAGACCAAAACAGAAAAATGAAGGATGAGGCTATTTATATCCATAATTTTTATATATGCATCCACTTTTAAAATATAATTATATTATATTTTTAATCTTATGTAAATTTACCTAAATAGACACATATAAAATTAAATAAAAATATATCGTTCTAAATTCATCCACTTATATTTATTTTCATTAGATTCTTTTGAACTCTTTTATATTTTTTCAAAATTTGTGTTTAACTAGAATTCTAATCCTATATAAGTAAAAGAGTCACTTTTTTTTACTGTTCATAAGTCGAGCCGAGCTAAATGGCTTGACGGCTCGACTCGGCTAAGCCTTTTTTTTTCCCATTTGATTCAGTATTTTAAGTTACAAATATTCATTTTAAGCGATTTAAAATTTGTTGGAAATGTTGAAGTGCGGCCATGATAAATATATGATCGATAAATTTTAAATATCAAAATTAATTTTACATTAATTGTGAAACGTAACGTCGTGAACTCGTGATTGTTTATGTTTCTTTTCAATCCAAACCTCATTCCAATATCCTCTTTTTGAATTTTATTTTCCTATAAATTTTTGTTTGATTTGATATTTCATGATATGAATATCCATTTGGATCGATTTAAATTTTTTAAAAAAAACTTAAAATGTGATAATAATAAATATATTGTCGATTAAGTTTAAATATAAAAATAATCTTAAATTATTAAATTTAAAATCATAATCGTTAATTTTTCTTTTCTACCTAACCCTCAACCCCCATACTCACACCAATTTCTCTCAATTTCATTTTTCTTCAATTTTTACGGATAAAAAGGGTAAATTTATGGTGTCAAAATGGATATTGAAGGAATTCAATAATTTTCAGAAAAATTCCCATACATCATGCAGTGCTGGTAGACAAATATTTTCTTTGAAGTGAATTGTTTTAGGTTTTTAAATGAATTTAATGTACAGTAACGTTAGAATATGCTGAAAATATATTCGGCGAAATTTATGAAGTTAGGTGATCGTATGTCATTTTTTTTGTCTCTATGATGTAAGTTTTCGTTGTGCTGTGATTTTAATACTAATAAAGACCCTTGATTTGTCCTAAATTTGCACTATATTATCATTAATTAATTAATTTTGACTACATACGTCTTGCATAGGATCTTAGTAAAGAAATTAAATACTGGTGCAACTGATACATAGAATTGGAGATTCTATGAGCATGGGATGAAAGAGACATAATGTCTTACCTTAATAGGTAGAAAAATGAAGGCTAGATTGAACTTCATTATCTCTTTAGCATAGCATTAACACCTAATCATCTATATTATGTCTTTTTTTAAAAAGAATAGAGAGACCTTCAAATGCAAAGTTTAGAAAATAAGTTTTGAATCAAATCTTATAATCTTATATTTGCACTTATCATCATTTCAAGTGTTTTAAGTTTTAAGTTTTGAATCAAATCTTTTAATGTTATTTTTGCACATATCATCATTTCAAGTGTTTTAAGTTTAATGTAACTAATGCTTAACATAAATAAATTTTTTTTTTAATATTTACGCTAACTATACTATGGCACGTGCATTGCACGTGCGTCTCACTAGTATTCATAAAATATTATCTTCAACTAAAATCCTAAAACGCTAATAATCATAAAATAACATCTTCAACTAAAATCAAAACAATAATGGACAGATAACCATTAGAGGAAATACATATAAACATAGCAAGATATGAAGAAATATGTATCTACATCCAAGTAATTTCTCATTTAATAAGTGTAAAATTTGGAAGAATAAATAATCTTTTTATTCAAAAATAATATGCATATAATTTACATGTATATATAGCTCTTTAGCCTTTCAATTAACTCCTATAAATCTGCTACTAATAGATGATATATTGCAAAGACGGAAAGTAATATATTACAATATATTTGTTCCCTAATTTATAATATTGACAAGAATCATGGTGAGGATCTTTGACTTCCTCAACACTCCCGTCAAGTTGGCGAGTAAATATTGTGAATTCCCAACTTGACCAACAAAGAATGAAATATTTCCTTCTCGAGAGCTTTAGTGAATATATCGGCAAGTTGTGATATGAATGGAACAAACTTTGTCATGACATTTCCTTCCATAATTTTATCTCGAACAAAATGACAATCAATCTCAATGTGTCTTGTTCGTTCATGAAATACCGGATTTGCTTCAATATGAAAAGTAGCTTAATTGTCACAGAACAAAGTAGATGGCCCTTGAATTCGAATTTGCAGGTCTCGAACAAGGTTTTGTAGCTATGTAATTTCACAACATGTTGCTACCATGGATCTATACTCAGCTTCGGCAGGAGATAAGGATACAGTTTTCTGGAGTTTGCTCTTCCATGAAATAAGACAATTTCCAAGGAAAACACAGTAATCAGTTGTTGAATGTCGAGAAGTCGAACATCCTACCTAATCAGAGTCACAATATGCTTTCAATTTCAATGTATTTTGGGAAGAGAACATCATGTCTTGTCCCGGTGTGCCTTTTAGATACTTCAAGATCCTTAAGGCAGCTTCATAATGGGGCTTTCGAGGTGACTGCATAAATTTGCTCAATAAATGAATAGAATATGTAATGTTTGGCTTTGTAATAGTGAGATATATCAATAGACCAATCAATCTTCTATACTTTGCCGGATCATCTAATGGATGACCATCATCAGGATGGAATTTAAGATTTTGTTCCATAGGAAAGTTAGTTGGTCGCGATCCCAAAAAACCAACATCATTCAAAATATCCAACATATATTTTCTTTGTGAAATGAAAATAACTTATTTTGAGCGTGCCACCTCGATTCCCAAAAAATATTTTAAATCACCAAGGTTTTTTTGAGTTCATTGACTGCTGTCAAACCATTCCCTGTTAATAGTATGTCGTTAACATAAATGAGCAGCACAGTTAACGATTTTCCTTTTTTCTTAGTAAAAGTAAGTAGTTTGCTTTGGATTGAACATAATCGACAGATTGGATGGCTTGTGAAAATTTGAAGAACCATTGACAAGAAGCTTGTTTCAACTCATAAAGTGATTTGTTGAGGCAACACACTAAATTCTCCCCCTGTTGCCAAAGACCAGGTGGTGGGAGCATACAGATTTCCTCCATGAGATCACCATGAAGGAAAGCATTATGAACATCAAGTTGATGAAGGGACCATGAGTGAGCGGCAGCGAGAGTAAGTAAACAACGGAAAATGACAAGTTTAGTGGTTGGAGAAAAAGTGTCATGATAGTTAATACCTTCCAGTTGAGTATAGCCTTTAGTAACCAAACGAGCTTTGTAACGCTCGATTCTCCTATTGGATTTTAATTTAATTTTGTAGACCCACCTACATCCTATTGGTGCCTTCCCAACTGGCAAAGGAGAAAGTGCCCATGTGTCATTGGTCTTAAGAGCCTGAAGTTCCTCATCCATGGCCTAACACCATTCAGGAGATTTTGAGGCCTCTGCATAATTGTCAGGTTCCAAAGTAAAAGACAATTGTGCAACAAATGATTGATATGGTTGAAAGAGTCCTTGATATGACAAGTAATTGGAAAGAGGATACCTTGTATTAGGACCAGAGATCGAGGAACTCGTGGGGGACGACCGAATGGTAAGACAAATATAATCACGAAGCTTGGTGGTATTCGAATGCGATCGGAATGTCATAAAGGTGCTGGAGAAGCAACGGGTTCATCGGGCACAATGGTTTCATTGTGTTGTTCCAGATTGACAGCACTATCT